CAATAACTACGGCACTGTCTCAGGTGCGCAGTGTGTCACTCCGCCCAGTGGTTTACTCAAGAAAGTAGTTCAGAGTATTTGCTTCATGTATCGTAATGTTACTTAATTATACATTATTATTTCATAGCGTGGGGAATGCGCAAGCCATGTGTTGTCCACTAGAGCGTTTGGAGTCATTTGATGGTGTATTTGATTAGTTTTGAGGGAGAGAGGGGGCCGTACCGTTCACCTCCACTTTGTGCACTGAGCAGTGGGCAGCTCTGCCCCACCGATCTCAGAACAGCAGGCACTGACAATTAAAGGTAATGTACCTACTCATATGACTATAGGGATTATGGCAATAGGCGAATTTGCCAAAATGTCGAACTATCCCTTTAAAACAAACCCACATCTAGTCTTCAGGCTCATGCACTGAATATTAGCCGAACCAGTTGATCCTCAATGAAAAAGACTCTCAATATTCACTTCATCCAAGCTCTATAGGGAGCAACTTATTTATCAACCATGCTGACTATATGTGCAAGCACAGAAGATAAGTAAGGAATCTTTTAATAATCCAGGAACCCAGCTGCTATTCCAGCCAATATGAGTATACAACCTACATACATGACCATACAAAGAGCCACACATGGCAGAGCTGCCTGCTGCTCAGCACACAAAATGGAGGTGAATGGTACGGCCCCCTCTCTCCCTCAAAACTAATCAAATACACCATCAAATGCTTCCAAAACGCTCTCGTGGACAATTTGTAGCTTACACATTCACCACGCTATGAAATAATAATGTAATATTGCGAGACAGGGTTGTTTTGAAGCCAAATGCAGAGCCGGAACTACATTCCAGACACACAGTACTTGCTGGGCGGAGTGATTTCAAACAGCGTATGTTTAGTGCAGTTACTCCCGTCATCAAAACAACAAGTTTACCACCTAGTACACCACCACCATTCACTATGACCTCAATAATAAACAAAGTAGAATTGTCACTTTCTAGACAATGTCAACAATAACCGAAAATTTATAAGCTTCGGGGGGAAAAATCATGGTATAGCCGTTCTACTGGACTGCATTAGATTACACAGGTGTAACGTTACCTAACAAAGTGGCCAGTGACTGTATGTTACATATGTTGCATATGTTGCTGGTGGGATGGGACGAGAGTACGCCTCAAAATAATCACCGGAACACGGGGAGAACATGCTAACTCCACACTCATAAATCACCACAACTCCTGAGGGAACAACAACATAAAATGTTCCCTAGCAGTCTGTTTATTCCCAACAATGAGAAGTAATGCCAGTCACTTCACTATATGCTCTGGGCAAGCACTTATCCATAATATAACCACAACAACATTTGCATTTTAGCCTTATTTACCATGCTTGGGTTGTAGGCTAATGTTACTCAACATGGAGGTAACGTTACAGCAGAGAGCTTGCTAGCAAAATACACAATGATCACTTACCACATCTGCTCGTTTTGTGATCCCGACAGATGGTATGGCAGTGTCTCTCAAGAAATGCGTTTGAACCATTCCTGAGCTTCTGCGCTCCATCCTTTCACTGTAGTCCTCCAGTAAAAAATGTTTGGAGCAAACAAACATTTTCCGGACCATTTCCACAGTCGTGTTGGGGTCGATGTCCAGCACAAATAGCCATTGTTTCATCCTGTCCGTATTATTGGTTGGTACTACGTGAAACTTCACTCTGCTCCATGTCTTCGGCTTGTTACCGCAACCTTTTACAATACATGTGTAAACCATGATTTACAACAGCACTCTGTAAACTTTTCTCAAACTTTCTGGTGCTTCCAGCTGACGATACCGCAAATGCAAGGCTGCAAGCAATAACTACGGCACTGTCTCAGGTGCGCAGTGTGTCACTCCGCCCAGTGGTTTACTCAAGAAAGTAGTTCAGAGTATTTGCTTCATGTATCGTAATGTTACTTAATTATACATTATTATTTCATAGCGTGGGGAATGCGCAAGCCATGTGTTGTCCACTAGAGCGTTTTGGAGTCATTTGATGGTGTATTTGATTAGTTTTGAGGGAGAGAGGGGGCCGTACCGTTCACCTCCACTTTGTGCACTGAGCAGTGGGCAGCTCTGCCCCACCGATCTCAGAACAGCAGGCACTGACAATTAAAGGTAATGTACCTACTCATATGACTATAGGGATTATGGCAATAGGCGAATTTGCCAAAATGTCGAACTATCCCTTTAAAACAAACCCACATCTAGTCTTCAGGCTCATGCACTGAATATTAGCCGAACCAGTTGATCCTCAATGAAAAAGACTCTCAATATTCACTTCATCCAAGCTCTATAAGGAACAACTTATTTATCAACCATGCTGACTGTATGTACAAGCACAGGAATCTTTTAATAATCCAGGAACCCAGCTGCTATTGCAGCCAATATGAGTATACAAACTACAAACATGACAATATAAAGAGCCACACATTTAAGAGGGTCGTCTTAAAAGTTAGACTTTGTAGAATTTTAGTTGATTAAGTCTTAGATAGTATATTTAAACCCAATCGGTGGATAGTGGGATTAGGCCTTGCCCAGATTGACTTCAGCCCTGCATAAAAAACCCCACAGCTCTCGCATTCATTCGAATGGAGCCAGCTTGTCAATGCACCACAAAAAAACAAACAAGCAAACATGAAAAAAAAAACAAAAAAAAACATGCAGGCCAGGGTTAACTGGCAAAAAAGTTTAACTGGGTCTGGGCCCAACTTTTTTGAGACTGCAGTGCATTGTCATCTAGCAAGGCGTTGTGCTGGCCAATCAAATACGTGCAAGTGCACATTCTTGCAATATTAATTTGTAACATGGAGGCTGTTTATATACTGTTTACCTTACAATTGTCTTGACAGAAGATGAGATAATTACTGAAGTTCAAAATCCTGTCTCATAGTTATGAATACACAATGTACTTCCAGGCCCGTCGCTGTTTGATCAATTAAAAACATTCGTCTACATTGTCTTCATTACAATGAAGGTATTCATTTACAATAATGGCACTAGGAAACAGAACCCACACACATAGTGGTGGCACGGAGTTGGCTTCAAGAAACAATTTTTTTTTCAAACTTCAGTTATACTTAAGAAACAAGGTCACATGAGTGTGTGTGCCCCTTGGTAGTTTTCTAGTCTAAACAACACAATGCCTGTCTCTAGCCTGCGTCAAGATACTGAGACATAACGTCTTCTAACCTTTCTGATTAGAGAGGTCAGGACATCTTCACTTGCTGACAAAGTGAGGGAAAGGACAGGGTCAGGTAACCACCACACAGCAGAAACACATAACTATATTTTGAACCTCAGTTGTTTTTTTTTGTTTTTTTGTTGTTTTTTTTTAATTCACTGCACATCGTAACCGTTGTGCAATATTTTGGTGCCTGATAAGCCTTCAGACTGATGGATCAGCTAGTTTTCATACTGGACTCTAAGATTATCTCAGCAATGCCTGAAGGAGCATGCACATTAATGTAACTACAAAAGCTGATGAAACAAAATGTCCTTAACAGCACAGGAAACTCAAAATTGTGACTTTGTATAGGTGTTCATTTCAGCTCAGGGAGGCAGTTTAATTTTGGCTTCAGTGGAAAATAACCTTTAAGCCTATTGTTATTAAAGAGGACTGAGGGAAATCTAGACTTTTGCACTTCCTCTTGTCTCGGTTTTCTGGCTTTGGAAAGTGTGGCCACAGGCCATTTCAGAGAGAGAAAGTGTTCCTGTTGGCTGTTTTACAAATGCAGATGCGCATGGCGGAGAGCTTTGCAGAGAAAGTTGCTATTCCTGCATTGGCAACACTGCAAAGCAACCTAGAAGAGAGTCAACAATAGTGACAATAAAAAATAAAACACTTGTCAGTATCGGCAAAGCATCTCAGAGACGGAGAGAAAATGTTGCTAATAGTTAGGCTTCTGCTTACAGCTGCGGGTTCAAGTCCACTTTGATGTAGCTAACAATACCAAGAGCCTTGAATCAGTGTGTCTACTACAAACCTCGCTAGGAGGAGAGCTGGCAGCAGCTCCAGAGATGAACTCTCAGTCAGCGGGCACAGCAACCTGAATCCAAGCTAGCAAAACCCTCAGCGCTTGGGGACCGGACAGACTCCCCACTGGATCAGCAAACTGTCTGTGGTTGCCATGACACTAGGCGCTGAGGGTTTGTGCTGGCCATGGGGTGGCTAGCAAGCTAATTCTTGTCTCATTTGTGGTCTGATAAACAGAGAGCGTGAGTGGGACAATAAGGGGCTGAGCAAATGAGCTGCATGCAATTGTACAATGAAATAGGATTAAATAAATCAGTGTATAAGAAACACGAGTTTGCATATGTCTGTGGTTGTCTGGTGTGAGGGGACAGAGGACAGAGAGAGGACAGTGGGAGCTGCAGGAGGAGAAATGTTCCTTGTCCACATTTCTGCCTACCCCAGCTTTAACAGATGTCTCTCTCATTGCCTTACAGAAATGTCATCAGTTCTTGTGAACTGCAGCTACGTAGTTTCTTTACCTACATTTTTTTTACCTTTATTTCCTGGTTGGCACACTTCAGTTACACTTGAAAAAAACATCCTGTTACTTCCTGGCTTCTGTGAAGTGCTGAATGACGCAAGTGCTGTTATACCACAAAGGGTTTTGGAGTGTAGAGTGAATTTTAGTCGAACAAACGCATGGAGCTGGATTCTGCTGTCACCTTTACAATACATTCCATGTAAGTTGTGCATTTCCACAGCAGACTAAGACATGGCATTATTATTTCCACTGTACTAAAAGAAGACCAGTATTGAATTTGATTAGTAATTTAATGTTTTCCATTACTTCAAGTGCTTTGCGCAGTGCATTACATGTATCCTTTCAAATTGATGTGAAAAAAAAAATATATATATTTCCTGTCATTCTAATGTTCTTACTCATTTTATAACAACATTTGGGTGGGCACAAGCAAGACCTTTTAATCTGAAGATCACATTGTAAATTTTACAAATGATTTTCTTAATTTCAGCAGATTAGTCTGAAGTATATGCTTTCTGACATTTGTCGTTTCATATAAGTAGCCAGTGATGATTTATAGAGACGATCTTGTGTGCTGGATGTCTGGCACGATGCCATTTTCTTTATTCCTCCCACTCAGCCAATCACGAGCTTTAATACAAACCAACCCAGCCCAGATCTCACACAGCCCCTCCCCCAGCTGTATGTCTGTGTCACCCTACCTCCCTCTCCTCTATTCTCCCTTCCTCTGCTGCTTGCTGGCTCGCGCATGCCCTCTCTCCGTTGCCTCATGCGGCTTGGCGAAAGGGAGAAATAAAAAAGATAGAGGGATTGGGAATAGACCAGAGATTTATTTTAGCGGTGAGTCCAAAGAGGCGTGGGATGGAAAAACAGACGGGTCCTTTGCGCATAAACCCACATGTAAGTCAGATGGCCTTTCACTCTCTCGTATTTTTTTTTATCTTCGTGCCCCTCCTTCCTGTCTCACTTTGTATCATTACCTCTCTTTTATTCTGTGTGTAATGTATCTCTGTCTGCCTTTATCGCGGTGTCATCCCTGCCTTTGCTTTCTGCATGCGTCCCTGCCCCCATACCATAACACTGGCTGCTGATGCTGTCTTGTGATGCTTGATTAGAAGTCACTGGCGTGCTGAATGAGACTCTGGGTAAATCATAGAATTTGGTCCATGAGGGTTTTTTGTGTGACCTGAGAGTTGAAGAAAAGCACAACAGCAAGGATGGGATCTTGCATGAATTTTGCTTTGACCAGGTCATGCAAATACTGAACTAAGTTGTCAAGCTGGCATTTACCTTGAAAGGCGTGGTACTTTTGTGCCATTGTTGTTTTTAGAATGCATCCCAACTTCAGTTTTTTTCCATGCTTAAACAGAGGCTGTCCAAACACTGTCTTAACCTTCCCGTAGCTCATCTGTGACTGATTTTAATGGGGATGATTAGCAAAAGTAAGGTGATGATGATGGTGATGGTGATCAACACCACAAAATTATCATTCAGCTGAGGCTATTAAAGTAATGACTTAATAGAAGTAAAACTAAATGGCAGTTTGTCTTCAGGGTGTCATAGGAAATCAGCCCGCATTATTTTTAAATTACTGAATGGAAGTACAAGTCTTTGAGGTTAGGTGAGTGTGGGTAGGCTGGTGTCGGCTGGTGGCTGACGTTGGCCAGTGGGATATTGTGTAAACAAATCTACTCTGTCAAATCTACCTCAGCCAAGGACAATGATTTGTCAGCAAAGGTATAGAAGATCCGGTTTAAAAGTGGGAAAAAAAATCATTTCTGTGGTGGCATTTGTAAACCTGAATAATAGCACTGTAATGCTATGTATGAAAGGATTTTAGTTATTTAACACTCTTGCCAGGAAGTGTGACCAGAAGTCCTGTTGCGTGTTGAAAATATAGTAATTGCAATGCCACATTTTCAACTTAAAATAGAGGTTATAATATAGTTAACTTAAAACTTTTTCAACTAAATTTTGTCCCGTTTAAATGGACGAATTTCTCCTGCATGCCACTAAAAACCTTGAACTTGAGGTAAAATAAAAAACAATGAAACGGAAGCAAAACTCCATGAAATTTTATCTCCATTAAATTCGGAAGTTTGCGATCTGAATGGCCGATATCTATCCCAAGCACCACTAAAAGACAGGAAGTCTGCCTGCGCTGTGCCATTGATCGCTTGCTAGCTGAGCAGGGTACATTCTGTTTCCTGACTGAAATTCTACTTTCACAATTTTTGCAGTTTTTTATTAAGTTAAGTATTTCATCTGAATACAATAAGAAATCGTTTTATTGTTGTTTTGTTGATTTATAATCACAAGCTAGCAAGTAATGTCGGCTAGCTCCTTCACAATCATACTGTAGAGGTCGCACAAAAACATGAAATTGTTCGTCAAAGTCTGCATCATAACCACTTTCACACCGGTGTTTTGAGAGTGAATGTCGACGTTAATTAGGGCTGCCATGATTAGTCGACTAATCGATGACTAATCGACTATTAAAATAATCGGTGACTATTTTAGTAGTCAACTAATCGGTTTGAGTCATTTTTCATAGGAAAGTACTATAAAAGTACCCCAAAATAATCTTACTGCAGCTTCTTACGTTCAGATATTGGCAGCTTTACACACTCTCCTGTGACAGTGAACTAAAACCCTTTGGCGTGAGTATGAAACAAGACATTAGATAACGTAATTTTGGGGTTTGGGCGAGACAGACCGACATTTTTCAACGTTTTAACACATTTTTTGATGAAATGATTAGTTAACAATGAAAATAATCGTTAGTGGCAGCCCTAACGTTAATAGAGAGCGCAACACACAAATCAGCTGGCGGTATTAGTCTGTTGCACATTTTTAAAGGTTGGCTGACACTTACGATTTTTGTCATCATTGTTTAATCATCACTGTTGGTTCAATTAATTGTCTTCTCATGTTTAGTTCGATCAGATTAACTAATTGTAGGATACAGATAATTCAGTTTGAATGATTAATTGTTCAAACAGAATTACTTACAAACTTGTTGCCTGTTGATTTTTGTCAATTAACTAATTGATTAATTGACTGCAATGTTACTGTGATGTGTATTCCTGCTGATGAATAAATTGCAGTGGCAGTAACTCACCAAAAAAATGTGGCAATCCGTGAGCATTACAGGTGAACATCCTAAAACATTAAAATATCAACTATGCTAATGTTTTTTTAAGAAGGAAAAGTACTGAACACAGTTGTAAAACCTTGAAAATACACATTGCGTTTTGGTGAGAAACACTGAATGTAAACATAACTGTGACCAGTAAATTAGCAATAAATACCTGTAAAATGACGTTAGCAGTGCACTTTACAACCTGATCAAAGTTTGTTCGGTAGCTCGTTCAACAAACCAAGATGGAACACAAGACATACTGTGCGTCCACACTTGTAGACTAGGAAGAGAAGGAGGCATTAGCCAGTGAGCATATGTTGGTTTCAGTTGGAAGTGTGCAGCTCTTTTGTTTTGCATTGCAGTTTCTGTCCAGCTGTCACTCAGCATCACAGCAAGCCCATGATAGAAAGATAAATTTTGTTCCTTTTATGCAAATGAAGTGCAAGATGAATGGCTAATATGCAAAGAATTTCTCTCTTGACATAGACAGAAAACAGTGGCATCCTGCCCAGAGTATGCACAGATGAGGATTACTGTCATGTATCCAATTCTTCCCTTTAGGTACCGATTTGTTTTTTATTCACAGGACAGGAGTAATATCGGGGATGCTGTTGTCAAAAGCTATGATGACACTTAAATAAATTATGTTTTCCCTGTATCACGGAGTAAAAAGCGCTCTAATGTTATGAGTGAGTGAGTTAGAACCTGTCATGGGATTGATGACAGGTGATAGATCACACTGTACTTCACTTTGCTGCAGTTAATCCAAGCATCTGAGATGTATAAGGAAAAACTCACCAGCCAAACAGGAGAGTTCAGACAGTACCTAACGCTGCCGCTACCCAGTATCCTTAGATAACCCCTGGATATGTAATGAAACCTGTTGGCAGTTAGTAACGAAAAACGGACTGTTCACATGGCGCCACTGACGCATATTGGCATTCACTCTAAAGATGTTGGTTCTTCCCTGGGGCACAAATCTACAGACACACCTTTTTCCACAGATATTATGTTAAGTACTACCTACAATGATATAGGAAAGCATAAAAAGGAAAGCTCTGATTTGACACTAAAAAAAACGTATAAACATTTCATTTAGTCTTAATTTAAGGTGCTTGGCACAGCCACGCCCGGGGATGAGTGAGGCTTTTGTTTAGCCAGACACCTTTAGTCAATGTTCACAAGAGAAGAATTGCCACACAGCTCAGCAGATGACTGTGGTTGACGTGACCCACTGTTTATTTGCTAACACGTTTTCCTTGCGAATTTCCATTTTTTCTTTTGTATGTATTTGATTTCAGCACCAGCATACACCAATAACAGCCTCCCCCACAAATAGCTTCAAAATATCTTCAGTTATTTTTTCTTTTTGGGATGCAATACTGATCTCAGCATTTATCATAATGATGGAGTAGTAAACTATGGGGTCATTGTAGGAATATGATGGGGTATTGCAGTGAATTTACCTGTGAATACTCGCAGCAGCCCATTTACTTTAATTTTTGATCCACTCTACTCTATGCAGGGCTTTTGTGAACAAGTATTGAGTGTACCCAGTTGTAATTCTGATTGAGTAATTAAGGCCCATCATTTGTGGTAGCAACATTCATAGCACTGTTGATCCTTTGGTTCTTCACTTCTCCAACCTACAGTCTGCTCAGAGGAAAATATGCATATATTTTGCAGCCTGTAATGAAGACACAAAATCTGTGCAGTCAGAAATCTAATTCTGTAGAATAGCATGATGGTGATTTCAATGTGCAGCTGAATCAGGTGTTTCACAGTGAAAGGACAGCAAACTCCAGATTGCCTATGGAAAATATTTGAATTTTAACACACATTTTACATGGAGAACTTAATATTTGCTGAGAAATTATCACTTCATGGTGCATCCCTTCTCTTTAGCCTTTGGTAGTCTGTGGAAATGTTGCCTTATTTCTTTCCAAATCTGTAGACCTTCGTGTAACCTCCTCCTGCTTACCTTGAATAACACTCATGGATTACAGTCCAGTTTGACAGCATTCAGGTGTTGGCATTGGCTTGGCGATAACATCAGCCCATCCTAACAGTCTCATTGTTTTCGGGGATCTGGTACAACCTGTTCATGTCTAGCTAGATGCCAAGTTATACAGACAAAAAGTGTCTTAGCAGTTTGACTCAGGGACTTTAACTTGAGCAATACTGGATTCCTGTGGTGTGCTTTTTGAGGCTGATCCAGATATAATATGCTAAGTCATGCCATAAATGAGATGGAATGGTATATGGCTGCATAGGACTGTGACTGTGTGGATTTTTTCTTACTGCAGTGAAAAAGCAACATAACACTTAAGTTTGGCGGTTTTTGGTGCGTCACATATTTCCGAGTCCACTTGCTCACCCGAGCGACTCCCGTCTCCGTCTTTACCTTCTATGGCACAGCAGCCTTCATTGATGACAGGCTTGTACTATGGGCAGAACATTGGGTAGTAGCACATTTTTTCAATTGATTTATTGTATTGGCTTAAAATAAATCAAATGTGGTGATGACAATGATAAAGGCGGTTATTGTCACAGCTGCATTCTTTAAGCAGCTGTACTCACATGACATAGCACAGTCCCTAAAAGGCCTTTTAATTTGTAGAGTTGCGATGTTCTCTGCTCTTCTTTGACAAGAGTCTCAGTATTTTCCATGCTGATAAACTCAATATCCCCTCCTTGTTTTTTTTTTTTTTTTATCTCTCTCTGTGTGTAGTAACCAGTGCAATGATGTTTGATATGGCTCTGCAGGGTTGGACTAGTTTAATACCATCTCTTAAAAAAACAAACAAAAAAAAAACCCTCTATCCACATAGGCTAATGATTCTACATTTACCATTCATTTACACTGTATTTTTACCAGTCACATGGATTATTAATATATGAAAGGCAAACAGTTCCTGCCATGGCTCTCACAACACCATTTTTAAGTAGGGACAGACAATATTACAAGCAGCATGGTCTGTGGTAAGCAGTGGATCACTCCATGGAAAACATGGTGGGATTTAACAATCGTGCCTCAGTAGGAACCCTGTTTTTTATTTTTTTTTAATCCTTGTTTGCTCGTTCCGATGTCAATGACCCCTCCGTTCCTATTCACAGAAGTGCAAAGGAATAAAATGCAGCTCAGCCAGAGGCTAAATCTAACCTCGGGAGTTTGTAAATTCCAAGCGGTCAATCCGCTCTGGAATTTGAGGTCCTTGTGATTTACCACATTGGCTTTAATACATACAGTACCTCTGTATGTTTTCTGGAAATGTTACTGCAAAGTTGTTGTTTTATATTTAAGACTTTGAACACACAATTGGGAAAGTACAACTGTTGTAATGCATTCACAGCAGCAGATGGCAGCAAGAAGCCATCGCCACTGAAAACTTCAGCATTAGTTATACACATTTGGATGATGTTGTGACATTAGCCTTTGGTGAGCACTGTTGACGGTTAAATAGAGGAGAAACAGTTAGATATTTTTCACAAAAGACATTTTGAAATGTCACAGAAGGAAACGCACAGGTGTAAATAATACAATGCCTGTCTGTTCTGTTTGTTCTGCAAGCTGCTTCAGTTTTAGGGTCCTGGTATGTTCATGCTGGCTCACTCTCACACTTTCATAGCTCACTGGGACTCCTTAATAGAACAGAACCATCATAAATGTTATTATTAACACCTGCTTTATAGTATAACAAATCAAAATGTCTGCTTTGAAGTTTGAAACAGTTCTAAGCCTGTGGCTGAAACTGTGTCGTTGCAGTTTGTGCCAGGTGTGTTACATTACCAGCTCAAACCATAATCATACAAAAGATTCTTGAAGGACTACTCAGTGATTTAATCTTGATCGCTTTACTAATGTCCCGGTATGACTGAAGTCACTTCGTAGGTCAGAACCTCAGGTGACTCCAGCCTGCTGTTATATCAGTGGAGAGATAATGGAAAGGTTGTTAACATAGTACTGCAGGGGATTTACCTAAGTTCACTCATAATTCACTCATCATCATTTCTCGTGGACATAGTTCCGCCCCTTTCCGACTAACAGCCAATAAGCATAGAGAAAAGCTTCTGTGTGCTTCTCCCTTTGCAGCTGATGAGCTGTGACTTTGTCGCTCTCATTTATGGGCTGCTGTCCTTTGAGACCAATTTCCTCCTGCAAGGTGACCAGGGTGTCCCAGGTGTGAGTGTGACCTTCACCTTGCCATGCAAAGCACTGTCCTAAAGCATGTTTCCCACCTCTGGAAAAAAAAAGTGTCAGCATGTGTTCTTTGTTAAAAATGCAAAACATTTTTAGTGTAGTTGTGTTGTGTTGTGTTTCCATGTTACAGCTTCTGAATAATCGGAAGGCCCCAGTGAGTATGACCTGTGGGTGGGTTATGGTATTGAAAATAATGGATAATATTATTATGCTTTACCGACCCATTACTGGATCTCACCCCGTCTTTTCTGTATTGTCTTTTAGGAGCTTTACTATCTGAGAATGCAGAGGAACAGAGAAAAGATGGAGAGGAGAAAGACAGACGCGGACAATCAGGTATGGCTTCATGTCTTTGGCTCCGTATGAAAATGAGGGTTTATTAGAACATTATGTGAAGTGAATTTATTATTTTCAGCCATTTGTATTTGAATAATTAAACATAACTTGTGGAGAGAGGGGTGTGTTTTTATGTGCTCGACTAATGGTGTCTCTGTGTGTTTGTTTGATCTTTAACCCTCCATTTGGTGTAGTGTAAGAGGAAGTTGAGGGTGTGTGTGGCAACATGCAACAGAGCGGACTACTCCAAGCTGGCCCCCATCATGTTTGGGCTCAAAAGCCACCCTGACGAGTTTGATCTGGAAGTTGTGGTGCTTGGCTCACATCTCATCGATGATTACGGGTATGTCCAACTGGCACTAAGGTGTCCTTCTAAAAAAGCAAAAGCTTGTTACAGATGTTGCAAAACAGTAAAGTAGTGTCTAAAGTGTAATGCACCAGCCAATACAACATTCCATAATTGCCCACAGATGTTCATTGTGAAACTCAGGTTTTTCGCTGACTTGCTCTTTTCCTACTTTCTGCTCCGCAGGAACACTTTCCGTATGATCGAGCAGGATGACTTTGACATCGGCTCCAAGCTCCACACCATTGTGAGAGGAGAGGATGAGGCTGCCATGGTGGAGAGTGTTGGGCTGGCACTTGTGAAACTCCCTGATGTCCTACAGAGGCTGCACCCTGACATCCTGGTCGTCCATGGGGACCGTTTTGATGCACTGGCCCTAGCAACTGCTGCAGCACTGATGAACATTAGAATACTTCATCTGGAGGGAGGAGAGGTGAGGAGGCAGGGCTCGAGAATATGAGAGATAAGTTGTAGTCACACCACGCACCGTGTGTATAGTATGCAGCCATATGTTTTCTTGTCTTCCTAAGAGTGGCACAAAATACAATAATGGATTGATATAATAATAGTGCAGGAATTTATGGTTCTTTTACAGTTTTGATCTGATGCACCTGTCTGCAAGACTTTGTAGTAATATTACCAAAGAACAAATAACATGTATCTTTTGTTTGTCTTTTTCCCAGGTCAGCGGTACAATCGATGACTCAATCCGCCACGCCATCAGTAAGCTAGCCCATTACCATGCCTGCTGCACACGTAGAGCAGAGCAGCACCTCATAGCCATGTGCGAGGACCACTCTCGTATCCTGCTGGCCGGCTGCCCTTCATATGATAAGCTGCTATCGAATAATCACAGAGACGACTACATGGATATCATCAAGAGCTGGCTGGGTACGTGGGGATACAGTCACGGGACAGAAATAAAGTGTGAGGCATTGAAATATGTTTGTATGTGATGTGTCGGGTGTTCATTCATGTTGCAGGTGACAAGGTGCAGGAGCGTGACTACATCGTGGCTTTGCAGCACCCAGTTACCACTGACATCCAGCACTCTATTAAAATCTACGGGCTGATGCTGGATGCTCTGCTTTCTTTCAACAAAAAGACTCTCATCCTCTTCCCTAACATTGATGCCGGTTAGTTTCACTTACTGCTTCCTTTGGGTCCTTTGTGTTATTTCAGGCTGTTCTCTGTCACTTGAACAGCCCCTTCTTTCTGTATGTAAACAGGAAGTAAGGAGATGGTGCGTGTGATGCGTAAGAAGGGCATCGAGCAGCATCCCAACTTCCGGGCAGTGAAGCACATTCCCTTTGAGCAGTTCATCCAGCTGGTGTGCCACGCCGGCTGCATGATTGGAAACAGCAGCTGTGGGGTACGAGAGGCCGGGGCCTTTGGCACACCAGTCATTAACCTGGGAACAAGGCAAACTGGAAGAGAAACAGGTATGTTTGATAATTACATGCTGCCTCTGCCACAATTTTTGTCCGGACTTACTCTCTGACTAAGGAAGGTCAAGAGATGGATTAAATCACTAATGAGGCATCGCACATGCTGTAGTAAGGTGCAGCTCCGCAAGGACTGTTTATATATTTGGTTTCAGAGCTTTACAAAGTGTTTATAAAGACAGTCTGTCATCTGACACAAGTTACTATCGCTCAACCCACCAGACTCCATTTAAATTAAGACCAATTTTAGTGTGTACAGAGCCAGAATATTTTCACATCTAACTGGGTGAATTAAGGATTTATTTCAAACAAAGCAGTGTGTTTTACAATGATAAAATTACTGTGTTTTTTTAAATAGAGTTCTGGGCTGTTTCCGGTTAAACAAAAAGGATTTCACTCTTAAACAAAAACATCTGTCACTGTAGGGATCCTTTCCATAATGTTGTCAGACATCTGTAATAATAATAATGTGAGCATGTGAGTGGCAAAGACAAGTACTTCTAGTGGATATACATTAACGGTGCCAAATGTCCATGTCGTTACATTGCAGCCTGTTTCACTACTGCTGACTTTAGTGATCTTGCTCTATACTGGATCACTTTAAAACATTGTTGTTCCCATACATCACTTAGACACAAAGACAGGAAAATGGGGTCCAGGTTGAAAGTGAAAGTTTCCCTTCAACATCTACTGTATACTGATCATGTGTCTCTCTTTGCCAGGTGAAAATGTCCTACATGTCAGAGATGCAGACACTCATAATAAGATCTTCCACGCTCTGGAGCTGCAGTTTGGAAAGAGATACCCCTGGTATGATCTATATACTGTCGATCTGTCTTAACGGGTCTTTGTCCTCCAGTTTTGCTTGTAGAGCCTCTTTTCCTTTTTCTCTCTTGTTCTAAAAGCACCATATCTGTATTCTAAGTGTACATTTTTGCTCTGCATATTATGAAGGGTAACTTACAGCAACAAGTGAAATGTAAAGTTGAAGTTAATTGAGTTAACTCCTGTCACAGCTTCATAGTTAAGAATAGAAGAAATTACAACAAAATATGAAAAAATACTATATAAATATGTACAATATATCTGTTTTATAATGATGACATATAAACACAAGTGCATTTCTTTTTCTCATCAGCTCTAAGATTTATGGCGATGGCAACGCAGTGGCCCGTATTCTCAAGTTTATACGGACCATTGACCTGGAGGAGCCGCTCCAGAAGACTTTCTGTTTCCCCCCGGTGAAAGACTGCATCTCCCAGGACATCGATCACATCCTGGAGACACAGAGCGCTCTGGCTATTGACCTGGGAGGGACCAACCTCAGGGTGGCAATCGTCAGTATGACGGTATGCTGCATATACTGTAATCTTTTCGATGTAGCTGTATCTCCTTTTTTTTTTTTTTTTTTAAATTAAATATATTCCTCAGGGCATTTTACCTTTAATGGACAGGACAGGTAAGTGGGGGGGGGGTGACATGCAGAAAAGGGCCACAGGGCCACAGACTGGATTCGAACCCGGGCTGGGTCTTGAAGGTGTTTCGTTTTAAATGGCTGTCAATAAAGCTTTGATTAAAACAACAAAACCCTAAAAAGTTAAAGAGCTGCCTCGGTCGCTGTCCACTGTTATGTATTGTGGGATGCATGTGCCAGTGAAGTGTTTAGTGTTTGCGTACTGTAACACTGGTTACTGTTGGTTACTATTTCAGACATACTAAAACATCTCAAATACCCTTCTAGCCTACTAAATAGCTTGTTAGTATGGAAATTTAGATGCAGTCTGTGTCTTCACTGTGATTCAACTTTGCCATCTGGTATAAAACCTGCTTCATGTTCTTCTTCTTCCCTTTTCTTTCCCCGCCACCACTCTGTTTCTCTGTCCAGGGTAAAATAGTAAAGAAAAATACTCAGCCAAATCCAAAGACCATCGAGGCCAGGATGCAGCTCATATTAAAGATGTGTGCAGACGCCATGCGGGACGCTGTCTGCCTCAACTGTAGAATTCTCGGTGTTGGTATGAAAAGACACTCACATTACTTAATGAATATGTGGCTTTGATGCTGACAAAAACTATCATCTTGTAGCTCTTCTAACATCTCTCACCTACATTGTAGGAGTGTCCACGGGTGGACGTGTAAACCCACAAGAAGGCGTGGTCGTAAACTCCACAAAGCTGATCCAGGAGTGGTCCTCAGTGGACCTGAGAACACCCATCTCAGATGCCCTGCACCTACCTGTCTGGGTCGACAATGATGGCAACTGTGCTGCGTTGGCTGAGAGAAAGTTTGGTCAAGGAAAGGGGGTTGAGAACTTTGTCACTGTCATCACAGGAACTGGTGAGTCAGGATCTTTTCATTCATTCACACATTTGGTCATTCATCATCAGTTTAAACAGGCTTGGTGCAAGGAATTAAATTTTGTAAAATTGTCATAATCCTAATATAAAAAAGAAACAACTATGCAGTGGAGGAAAGGGGGCATCATCTTTTTAAGTCTCTTAACTGAGCCTAGTCAGTATATTTTGTCATACTAAATGTCATGAGCCCTGTATCATACAGCAAATTGTAATCATCATTATAGCCTCATCTTACTGCACTGACTGCCTTTAACTACTCAAATCAGTTACTTAATTGCACTGACAATCTGAAGAAGTAAATACCTTGCCTCTGTGTGTAGGTATTGGAGGAGGGATCATCCATAACAATGAGCTGGTCCATGGCAGCACCTTCTGTGCTGCAGAGCTGGGCCACATCATGGTTTCACTGGAAGGCCCAGAGTGTCCGTGTGGCAGCAGAGGATGCATAGAGGCCTACTCATCTGGCTTGGCCTTGCAGAAAGAGGCCAAAAGGCTGCACGACGGTGAGTGTTTGTTTTTGTGTGCGTGAAGATTCATGGAATGTGCTGGGACTCAACTACGCCCAGACGATCCAGAGAGTAGCTGTGAAAGGTGTGTCTTCTAAACATGGTGTGTGCTCACCCTGACATAAACTTGTAGTTTTGTTAAGTCACCCGCTGGAATTGCATGTGTATAAAGGAATAGTTTACCCAAAAATATTATATGCCACATAACACACACGTGACGCAGGCATGAATGTAGGTTGGATGGATTTGCTGGATGTAGGAATTTAAAGTCATTTCTTTGCCTTTTTTGTAACTTTAAACTAGAAATAAAGTAATCTCGCTGTTTTTCTAACTGCTGATTCTTAGAATATTTGACTTTGTGGAAATCTAGCTGGATAAAGAAAACCTAGAGCAGTGTTTATGTCAAGTTGATTGAACAGTCCCAGGATTTCACTAGCCTGGTGAAACCGTTCTAATCTCGCGAGCTCATGTTCTATTTAGCTCCGCAGATCAGTCTGGCCATGCAATCATAAAGGCGCATTCTGGCATCGGTTAAAGCTTACCGGGCCAAACAACTGTTTATTACTTTGGGGAGGGCACGTCATCAGAATAGAAGCGGAGTGAATTCATTTCGTGAACAACCAACATGGCCACTGATTTTGAAAATGCTATGGTAAATGTGTTGAACGAACTGGAATGTATATTTTCTTTAAAAGCAGAACAAACGGCTGCACTGAAAGCTTTTATTGAAAAAAGAAAGGATGTGTTTGCCGTCCTTTCTACGGGGTTTGGTAAAAGTTTAATTTACCAACTGGCTCTGTTGATCGGAAAAAAGGTGGGACTAACTGAAAACCTAGTGGCTATTGTTGTTTCTCCGCTAGTTGCTCTCATATAGGAGCAGGTCAGGGAAGCGACCAAGCTGGGAATCACAGCCATGCAACTCGGAGTCCACAGTGAGGAGGAAATCCGCAAAGACGGCAACACTCTTTCACAGACATCATCACAGCTCATCTCCGCTGCAGTTTGCTTGGCTGTTTACAGTGGCGTTGTGCTAGAGTGGTGTTGTGCTAGCCTATGTCACACGTTTCGTTTACTCTGATTGGTTTTCCATCTTGCCAATTGCGTGAAGGGGCACTTTGAGTGACAGCCATTGATACTGCCCCTCAGGAATAGGACATGCATACTCCATGTCAAGACCCATTCGCGTTTTGTGACTTGGGTCTGGCAACGCCAGGCTAGGATTTCACAGGCTGTTTTGGGGATTGTTGCGGCCTGATAAGCCTGATTTTATGGCAGCTTTTGTAAAAACGTATATACATTTATAGGCATTTTTTTTCGCATTGAAATTTTGGGGGGACATTGAAAATTGTGAAAATAGTTGTGATACTGTGTTAGTGTATCCCACAGAATTAGAATTTATTTGTGATGGTAGGGTCGTTGGTCGATCAACTGTTAATGCCATGCGACAGAGCGCTGAAGGACCATCCCCATGAGAGGCTCTCCTTGTGCTCTCACTGCCGGTATAGCATGAGCTAACACAGCACGACATGATCTCATCACTACTCGTCATATTTTGCTGCTTGGGCAGTAGCCCTGCAGCAGCAAACGTCCGACACAGAGTCACTTATCTCACAACAAAATGGCTCGACTCTGTTGTTAAACCTGTTAATAACCATCGGGTAACTTTAGCTTTGTGATGCTAACAGTTAGCCCTGTCACTGTGTGTGTGACTCTGTCCCAGGCACAGAGCTCAGATCCCAAAGCAGCAGCTTTATAATAAGCAGAAAGAAGGAGGCTGAGCGAATCAATACACTGCGCAGAGCTCTACAATGAAATGAGATTTTACCCATTAAAATAGTCATATTTATGGTAACGTTACAGTGATTGGACAAAATTGCAAGGTTACACAGAATTCACAGGAATGGAACATTGCGAAATCCCGAAGAGACGGGCTAAATGTGGTTTCTCATCACATATCTCCAATGACTTCATAACATCATTCATCATTTGCATGCATATGCACATCTAACCTGTGTGCTGATGTGTCTTTCAGAGGACCTGCTGAAGGTGGAGGGGATGGATATGAAGATCACGGAGCAAATCACCGCTGCCCACCTCATCAACGCAGCCAGACTGGGGAACAGCAAAGCTCAGGCTGTTCTGCACAAAGGTCAGAGCGCAAAGCCAAAAAAATGCATACAAAACAAAAAAAGACCCAAAAATAGTCCTTTGTCACAGACAGGAATTATAAACACTTAACATTCTTAAAAACATTATTATATTTCACGAACACTGGTCTTCAAATCTGCTATTAAATGAGGAAAAAAATCTAATTTCTGTCTTCATCTTCCCCCCTTAGCCTCCACAGCGCTAGGCGTGGGCATGATTAACATCCTCCACATAGTGAACCCCACACTGGTGATTCTGTCCGGCATCTTGGCCTCTTACTATGAGGCCCCAGTGCAGCAAGTCATCTCTGAGAGAGCCCTCGACTGTGCCCAGAGCATCAAGGTTATCGCGTCAGATTTGGAGGAACCGGCTTTGCTTGGAGCAGCTAGCATGGTGTTGGACTATGCAACCAGAAGGACATACTGAAGGATATCATCTTATTTACCAAGGACTGCTACCAACAAGAGAACTGCAAAACTGACAGTAGTACCTGTACTGCCCAGATAGATATACAGGCATATCTAAGGGATACATTTTAAAGGCTTGACAATGAATTCGAACCATTGTGCTAGTGTTTAGCACGCTTGTTTTGCTTGTTAATTACCTTGATGAAGGCAGTTTTTCTTGTGGTTTCCACAAAAATGCAAATTCTCAAGCATGTCAGAATTATGCCTTCACTTGGCCAGATGATGGTCAGTAAGTGGGTCCACTGCACAATCGGGAAATGTCATCACTCTTGTTTTTTTAAATTTAGGTCTACATTTTTTAATTAAGCCCCAGGGCTTTTTATTTCTTTTTAACGATTAAGCATCAGCTTCTGAGTAAACAGTAACACCATCTTAAAACCAAAATTACCCTTCCAGGGTAGGACTAACCCGCTCTACTTGTAATGTGATGTGGGTGGATGGAAAAGTCATTAATGAAAGCTTGTATCAAAATATTGTGACCAAAATATTGCTAAAACATTCTCCTGCAGCTTTGTCTCAGATCTCCTTGATCGGTTGCCATCTCACTTTTTTATATAATCTTTTATGGAGGTTTTATTCTCAATTTGATTTGTGTTGAAATAAGGGTGACTGTCAAGTTATTATGTTAACATTTCCATGTTTTGTTTTGTGAATTACATTATGTAAGGTATGGGGAAAATCTTTAGTACTTAAAGATGATGGTTGGTGTAGTTGCTAATCTTGAAGGCTTACGGGGTAAGAAATGGTTAATGAATAATCAGTTGAAATATTTAATGACATGTTAAGGTAGCAACTGCTTGAGCATAATAGCTGCTTCAGTATGAGGCCATCAGATGAAGTGTTTTTTTTTTTTTTTTTAAATATATATATATATATATATATATATATACACATTTCGTCACCACAGACCTTACGAATTTTTGAACTGAATTTTCTTCACGCCTTTCGAATATATATTTTATCTGAAAAATATTTACATGGTTTGTATGTAATTACATACTCTAATGTACATTACATGCCAATTGAAATTTTTTGGATTCATTTCTTTGTATTTTGGGGGCTTATGTCCAAATATATATATATACTGTTTTGTTTAAAATATACATAAGAAATAAACTTTATTTAAGAGAGGAAAGCATGGAAGACATGAATGTTCTGTAGAGTACAAATCCTGCTGATACTTTTTACAATGGTCCAATTCACAATATTGTTGCTTAGGGTGTTTATGCAGCTTCTAAGTTAAAGGGGCAAAAAGCGAAATCGTTTCACCGCTAGGTTTGCTGTTGTGCACTGCCTGTAGACCAAAACAAAGTGTGTCATGAGCCACTCCTCCCTCTACCTCTACGTGAGCCCGCCAGGCACGGGCTCACAGGCTCGTGAGCTGGCTTCTCCGTGAGCCCGTGAGCCGGCTCACGGGCTCACGGAGAAGAGTAGGAACATTAGCGTTAGCTCCCAGGAGCGTTAGCAGTTAGCACTAGTCGGCTGCCACGCTAACGTTCCTACTCTTCTGCGTACTCACGGAGAAGAGTTAGCGTTAGCTCCCGGAGTTAGCACTAGTCGGCTGCCACCGGCTACTGGAGTAACTTACAGCTATGGAGCGCTTCTACCAGCTCTTCTAGTCACTGAGCCTCGCCTCCATCTCAGCAAGTATATTTCATTTATTACAGGTACCATCATGCCATCTGCCATTGCTCACTGGCTGTAGCCTTTTATAGGGGGGGAGGGTCAAGGAGGAGGTGGCGATTCACATGAATGTACATGAACGCGCAGCCGGACCGGCTTGTAAACAAGGGGCTGGAGATCAACACAGAGAGAGGGTGTGTGAGGTCATGCTATACTCCAGATGAAATTACACCTCTAGTTCTTCACATAGCAATTTTTTAATTCCTTCAATCTAGAAATGATGAATTTCGCTTATTGCCCCTTTAAGTGTCTACACAGGAACATGTGGAACTATTTCAAAACACGTCTCTCTTCCTTCAGCATCCTTGAAATACATGTAAAAAATGTTTTGTAGAATTTAAAAAAAAAAAAAAAAAAAGTTTAATGTAAAAGATGAAGGGATTAAACAAGTCTGATATTGGGGTGATGTGTTTCTGGGGGCCCAGTAGAGTAAGGACGATGACTGAACTGCTGTTCCAAAACAAGTTTTACAATTGTAAATTTTACTTTTATCAGTGACTGCAAGTGTTCAGTCATATGAGACTCCTGGATATTTAAACTGAATGAAATAGCCAGTCATGTAAGTATTGTAAATGGGACTTTTACACAGAAACAGCGACTGCACTCTAAAGCCTTGCTGATTTCTGCACTCTGTATCTCCAACAGAGTTGCAGTATATGAGTCTACCACTATAGTCCTGACTGATAAGTTTTAAAGTCGCTAAGGTTCATTCAAAATCCGTATTTCACCACTTAGTCATCATGCAATTTACTAATGTGCCCTGGGAGTCATATTCAATTATGTTCCTCACTTGTTATTACAAGAAATAATAGCATTTTTACATTTTTTTCTTTGTCTTCTTTTTAATCATTTAGCCCCATCAATTAGTTATCTTGAGGGTAAATTGCAAAGTTTGGAGCCAGGTAACAGTCAAGTCCTACATCCTTATTCAAGGCCATGATTTAGTCATATGAGTTACAGTAAAATGCTCATATGGAGGAGACTCACCTTTGTGTTTTATGACCTCTGTAAAGTCAGCAACAACTGGCTTCATAGTTTTGTTCCTTTTTATTTGTTACAGCAACCCAGGTTTTCAGCTCAGAGCAAATTCTAGCTTTGAAATAGGAGTCTCACTTACAGTGTGTTTTATATGCAATATATTTCCTCCCAGCTGCATAGTCGGGTTAGTCCCTGCTTGTCACCTGAGCCACTTGAGACTATTCAGAGCTGTCAATAATTAACCACCATGGCACTGTGCTTGGGCTGGACCCAGCACATGTTGCCAGGGTGCTTCGCCAGGAAGACAGGAGCAAAGAGGAACAAGGATCTCTGATCTGATGAGACCAACATTTTAAGAAGAAAAACAAAAAACAGCTTCAGTCTGCCATAAATTGGTAGAGCTGGGCAAATAAATGGGATTTTTGTTGCAAGTAAATTCAGACATGTATTTAATATATATTTTGTATGAAACAATTTGCATAATATTAGCATATTACAGCATATAAAATATACAACAGATACATACAGGCCTAACTATGATATCAGGTTAATTATGTAGCAGTTGAATCTTGCCTAATCTCAGACTGCGGATTTTTCTCACAGCTCTGACAGCACGTAGCAGGTCATGGGACCCGTATGAAGCAGCGTTTACAGATTTGATTGGTTCCAGTTTGAGGCAGCTATTCTGTAATTGGTCCTCCGTGCGATCACTCACCCGCTCTGGCTTGTGATTGGTTCCTCTCCTGTTTCCGCTTCGCTAGCTTTTTCGTTTTTTTTCTTTTTGTGTCGTCCTTCTTCCCATTGAGCTAATCGATTACGGTCACCCGCGACACCTGCTCACCGTTTCTCATATTTATCCTCACGTAATTATACACACCATGGATGATTTTGACATGCTGAACGCGCCCGCCGCTGGAAACGGTGTTGGGTCGGAGGAGGACCCCGCTGCCGCTTTCTTAGCCCAGCAGGAGAGCGAGATCGCGGGGATTGAAAACGACGAAGGCTTCAGCATCCTGGACAGCGGAGAGGTCCCCTCGTCGCTTGGAGACCCTAACGGTGGGTGACTGTTGTGGTCAAGCAGAGGCAGTTTCTCCTCGTTAAATGTCACCATAGCCTTTCTATTTAACTTTAATGACAGGGCGCCGTGTGTGTTGTCAAACTGTAACTTCCGTCAAACCTTAATTTGGTCCTAAATGGACTCTGAAGCTGATGCTCTTTGGTCAGATGCTAACGTTAGCTTAGCCACCGAATTAGCCCAGTTGGTTTAGCTAGCGTTACCATTAACCCGTGTCAGCGCTATGTAAAATTGACAAATGAACACGAAGCGGAAAACTCAGAATGGTTACTTAACTAATGTTTGTTTTATGAATATCCAACTGTCTGTAAAATGAATGAAGCTGTGTGATAACATCAGCCCTGCCGCTCTTGGTCTTGTCATTCATTGCTGACTGTTTGCTGGCAGCCCGACATGTTGCTACAGCCCTGGGAGCCAGCAAACCTTACAGCCAAAAGAGGAAATTGATGGAGCTTAACGACCTTTGCCCATGCCTGCCTCGTTTCCTTGAAGCTGTAGCTTCGTTGTGGTGTAGCAATTATAGTTAGTCAGAAGTGCTGACATGCCATATTATGAAATGTGTGTGTATGAAAATCTTGAGGATTCAGCAATAGTAAAAGAGTTAGCCAAGGTCTTGTCATGATAGAGGTTTTGTTGTTTTCTGCTTAAACACATCACTCATGTCTGCTGTTTTATTTGTCTACTTGATTTCTAACAGCTATTTTCATTGTATCTTTGCAGATGGTGCTGTCAATGGAGAGCTTCATGGGGTAATACTTTCACTCTTATATTGTCAAACTGCCCAATTATTCTGTCCTTGTGGCTGTTCCGCTGTATTTTGTGTGTATAGGGAGACTTTGACGGCCTATTCGTGCTCACAAAATACACTTGTCACTCTGTCCAAACCAAACATCTTTTGGTTATTTGAGCTCTCAATGTAGGGCTTTTGCTTGCTGCCTTAAAGAGCTGTAATCTCTGGCTCTTCTAACTCCTCAGAGGATAATTGTGAGGACACTGATACTATTGTTTTGATAAATGGCCAAACCATGTTGCTTAAGTGACATCTGTCTCCGTAATGTTGCAGTGAAGAAAAACCTTAACATTGCCATGTGGAAAAAGTCTTATACTGTAGGTATTAACTTACCCAATGTCAGTGTTGGGTGGCTTTTTATGAAAGCACAACTGTTAAAGAATACTCTTGGTTATTTACAGTTTGGGTCTTATTTTGATGATTTTCTTAGTTTCTGGATGGATGGATGTAACCAAAGTAGTTGCTGAGATGTGGCCAGTAATTTTAACATTGTGCTGACTGAGTAAGTTGCTAAGATCTATGAACATGACAATATTGCTCAAAAGAAATCGGATAAGTAAAGAAACACTTGATTCATGCAAGCAATTAAACCAGATTATATACACCACTTTATTTGGATGTAAAGCAGAAAGTTAGCCCACCTGAATTGCTGTTAATATTCCCAGAAAGATCAGTATTTATGCACTGTTGAGAGAAGTTTGCCTACAGGGCTTTCTGCCAGAAAGGGATTTCTTCGTTAAGGTTTGGGAAGAAATGGTGGTTTGAGTTAAAATGAATAGACTTCTGCCAGAAAGCCCCTTCTGGCAGAAAGCCCTATAGACAAGCTTCTCCCATGTGCGCACACAACTACATCGAGTATGGAAGGTCAAAGTTGGACCATTACGTTGGCCTGAAAATTGTGATGGATGATAACATTGGATCCCCTGTGATTTTTTTTCTCGAAAAACTTTGGGTAACCTGGTGGTTTGTTGAAAATGTGTCTTGACTGTTTGTTTCTTGGCCCATCTGACTTCATTGTGGTGATGTTTCCATCTTCCCAGATGTTGACAGTTTAAAGAAACGTTATAATTACTGAAAGGAATGATGACCTAAACTGCAAAATATAAAACCAAAATGGTTATAAACCAAATTTATCCTTTAAAGGGAAATATTGCTGACTTTCAACCAGCTCAGTGTCATCACAATGGCAAATGTGCAGGGAGCTCCAGGCGCTGAAGGCATGAAAAGTTTCCCTTAAGTGAACTGATGAGATTAATATACAGTAGTCTTGCTAATGGGATGTTGAGATTTGATTTTGTGAAGAGTCCGCGGCCCCCCCCCCCCCCCCTCAGTTTTATGCATTAGTTCTGCAGCTCCTCTTTGTTTAAAATATAAAAATACATTTGTAAGATTTTAGTGGTGGAGTGGAAAGAAAACTTGTTTTCTTTTAGCGCTGTAGCAGATAGTGTGATTTCAATGCTGACTTCAGAGGTCTGAATATCCGTCTGTCAGATTCACTCCAACTTCCGTTTCCTATGCTGTCATTGCAACATTGTTGTATTTTGCATCGTCAGGACTTCTTTCTGGCAGTGAGAGAAGCTAAGCTGATAAAACCCAAAGCAAGCCAAATGTACTTTTAATAAATCCTCTCAGAATATAACTAACGTCTAGGAACAGATGTACTGAATAACTACTGTAATTAGGATAAGAAATTGGCTGCAATTGAAAATGTATTTACAACCTTCAGATGACAGTTGGATAGATGAGTAATTCATATTGAGAGACTTTTTCACTGAATCTCTGTAACTGATATTGATGAAATGTTTTTTTATGAAGTAAGACAATCGTCTCTATATCATCGCCTCCCTTGTTTCTCAGGAAAGCAATGGTCCATCAGACGCCTACGCAGCAATTTCCAATGCAGATCGGCTGCAGGCAGAACCTGAAAGCCTACGCAAGTGGAGGGAGGAGCAAAGTGAACGGCTGGAGTTGCTAGGTAAGCACAGACCAGAGTAAGTTAGAAGGGAACAGGACAGGCCACTGCTGTCTCAACAGTAAAGGTTGATATTATGAGACCTACGCCTAGCACTGGAAATTCAAACCTAGCAGGGGATTTTTTTTCCATAGTTTGTTGGTATGTTATGAATTTCTCCTTCCCTAATTGCCGGTGGTCCTGCCCTCATATTATTTCCCCCTGCTTTTATGTTTACCTTTCCGTCTGTCTCTTCACTAATTTATTGCCCCTCACCTCGCTCTTCTCCCTCTCCAGATGAAAATTCTCGCAAGCAGGAGTCAGAGTGGAAGGAGAAAGCCAAGGTGGAGCTGGAAGAGTGGCACGCCAGGCAGAACGAGCAGCTGGAGAAAACCAAATCCAACAACAGGTACTGGCTTCATAGAGGGGTAGAGACAGGACACAAGGAACGATGGACTTGGGGGGGGCTGATATTACCATGAATAAGAACCCATTCACATTTGTGTCTGGACAAAAAAAAAGCCAAGTTGATGATATGGAGGATTTCCAAAAAGTTCTTAAATCATAGCGGCAGTCTTGGATTTAGCCACAGGGGAACTTATAGCTGAATACTAAGGTTTGGCTCAGTGTTTAGGGTCTCTAGCAGGAAGAGAAATGGATCCACCCTAGCCTTGAGGTTCGAGAAAGATATTGTGCTGCTTTCCCAGCAAGTCAGTGTTCCTATCCTTCGCTAGCCCAAAGTTTCCTTTAGTAGATTGCTCTCACATACTTGTGGACAATCATGATGTCAAGACGTTACTTTAGGGGGCAACCTGAGTTACTCCAGGTGATGAGCCAAAAACATGATAGTAATTGTTGTAGTATTGTAGGATCTCATGCTTCGACACACACCTTTTCAATAGCCCTGCCAACCAATACCACTGTGTGATGGTGTGTGTCTCCTTATATACATACACTTGTTATTTCCCAATTCAGCACTGTAGTTTCAATATCTTCAGACCTCTGCTGAAGGGTAGGCTAAAGTTAAAGGTGGAGTCTGCGATCCTGGAGGAAGATTGTTGCTATTTGAACTCAAACCCAAACAAATACACCCCTCCCATCAGCGCTCTTTCAGAAGCTCTGTTTTACTATCTCTCCTGCTCCCATTACCTTTCTCTTTATACATTCACGCCCTTTCCCCTGTCCTGTGCACGAGCACAGCGTGACAGTGTTGTGTAGCTTGGTCCAAGCGACATTGTTTGTTTCCCGTTTGCAGAGCCAGGGCTGTTTATGCAAACAGGACATTTGTTTTTCAGTGCACACACGGAACAGAAAGCTAACAGGAGATATTTGCTGTATTTGGCAAAAAGTGTAGTGGATTAGAATTGTAGACTCCATCTTTAATTTTACAGCTAAAGTTAGATCTTACTGTCCAGTCATGGATGCTTAAAGCAATAATTGTACTGTGTTAATATTATTATCTTGGATTTACCCCACCTGGCCATAAATTGGCAGAGGTGAAGGTGTGTGAGAGACAACCCTTAAAGGTCATTGACTTCAGCATGGGTTTGGATTATTCAAAAAATTCTAGTGTAATTAGAAAAATGTTTTTACAAATCTATAATGTCATGATGATACCGTGTTCCAAGTAGGAATTAAGTTAGTTGGTCTTGAATACTTAATAATAACAATGCTTCAAAAGACTGAAGTGTTGTTTTCTCATACGATTGTTAGATATGTAACTATTTAAGGATGTTTAATATGCCATTGGCTGGCATGTTTGTGCCCTTCAGCAAGCACCAGGTAACTCATCATTTTGTAGAGGTGAATTGGCAAAGTTTCTGTCTCGGTTTCTCCTGCACTGTAACGTAGCCCTGCTACCCTATTAATAATGAAATACCTGCAGCCATGACTCCCTGCTCAACTGGCAGTCCTGTTTGGTGGAAAAGTGTTACTGATGGCTAATCCTTTCATATGGATGGTCTTTGTCTGGTAAACAAGTAACTGATATACAAATGTAGAAGAGTTAAGGCTGCAACTGACATTATTTTTATAATAAAGATTAGCAAATGAGTCCAAACATTGGAGAAGCTGTCACTAGTAAATAATGTGGTGTCTTCCGTTAATTACTTAGGCCAGATCCACACTAATAGGTTTATGTTTCAAAATAAAAACAACCTCAATACACTTGAGTGTTTTAGCACCGTTTGAGTGTTTTAGCACCGTTTTTAGAAGTAATCTCTGTCCATACTAACACATCTGAAAACACATATCACATGACCATTCACGCACACTGGGCATCCATGTGCTGATGTAAACAGGAAGCACATTGTCAACTCTGTGGTTGGTGATTTAGTCATAGAAAGATGGCACCAAGTAGGACCAGAGATTTCTTTGCTTGGACTGTCCACGAGGAGGAATTGTTACTGAAGTTAGCATGAGTATATGGCAGTCATTGGTCGGAAAATATAGATTGGGAGTTGTTACAAGGCAAATAGAGCAACACATTAGAGTAACACTGGGAGCATTAACCATCACTGGGGAAAGCAATGGTGATGGTAAAGGAGCAAAGTAATCCACACAAGAAGAATAAAATAACAAAAGGTATGCTGGCATACCTACAATCTTTAAAACACGTCTTGACTGATGAGACCCAACCAGGAAGTGAACGTGGGTGTCAACATCATCGTTTTCAAAAGTGTCTGTCAATGCCCATCCAGACAAAAATGCAACCCTGGAGTTATCAAACTAAAACATGATCGGCAGCATTTTCAAAGGTCTCCATTTTAGCGGTTCCAAAACACTGGAATAGTGTGGACACTAGACGTAAATGTAGCAAAAGTTATGTGTTTCTAAATGAAAACATTAGTGTGGATGTAGCCTTATATTCATTAGTCATAGTTACAGTGTATCGCCAGGATTCAATTAATTACTAAAGCAGTTCAGTGTGTCAAACAATTAGAACTTGATAGTGTTTTGAAGTTACTCCTTCATTTCTGGTATTAGTTTTGGATGTGAGGAGCTGATGGTGTATGGCAGATCACACAGACATGTAATTAAAGATTTCATGGGTGGGCACAATCAGCTGACAGCCTCACCAAGCCTGTGAAACCCTCGATGCTGCGTTTAGAAGTCCTTCCCTGAGCCTTTGATGATATGCCTTAGCTTATTACTGTGTGGTAACCTATAATGCTTGTGTTTCCATCCTCTTCTCCCTTTTATCGCTGTCTCTCTTCTCTCCTGCCTTCTTGCTGCTCTGTCGTTTGGGCGGATGTTTGTCCAGGGTGCTGGATGAAGACTTCTACAAGCAGCCCTTCTCTGAGCTCATTGGTTATGTGTATGTTGCTCCAACTAACATCCTCCCTTCTCATTCTTTTGCCTTTTTTTTCTCCATTGTCATCATTAACTCCCAGCCTCCAACCAACCATTGACGTCATCTCATTAGTTAGGTCATTAGTTAACTCCCCATGTATTGCCATGTATTGTCATATTAACTCCATCTTTTGTTTTTTAATTCGTAACTACTTGGATTTTGAATTGTTTCACATCATCTAGCTTTTTTTTTATTTCTCATATGTAAACCTCAGTCATAATTTCACCCCATATGTCTGCATGCCATTTGTGAGTGGATGCTTGTGAGGATTTGTCAGTACAGAGAATGACTGCATGCTACTACACACACACTGCCACGCTCCTCAGTCACATCTATGGAAATCAAATTAATTATTTCATTACTGTGCCTCATCTATTACTCACTTCCATACTTATCCTTCATTTCAGCAAAACATTTTGCAAAAACATGACATGAATTTCCAACAATTAACACTGCTTACATTTATTGTATGAACTCTCACAGGAAGTGTTTTGTTTCTACTTAACATCTTTTCATAAGCGTGATGTTTTTTTCCCCAAAAAAAATTAATCTACAGAATAAGGATCAGGAGTATGATGCGTGTAGATTTGTTTGAAGCAGTTGTGTGTGAACTTGGCATCAACTAAACTATCCCTTTTTCTTAATCTGTTCACTGAACAATGTGCAGAGTCGACACTGTTCATAGGGATGGTTCCTTCCTCTGAATCTTTACAAGTCAAACTTCCTACTCACTCTAACTTCCCGTACCTCCAGCTCTGCCACTCACTTAAGTAAACGCTAGGGCTATGTGCAGAACAGGATAGTGTCATGCTAACCGTACCACATGTGAAACAGAGTTAAAAGTTACTTAAATTTTAAATAGTGTGTGCCGGTCAAGTTGTATTCCTTTCCTTTGGATTTAAATTGGATCCATCTGCAGGATTCAGAAACTCAAGTTGATACCTTGTTTTGCCTTTGAGGATATTTTATAATGTTTTTTTCAAGCTGCATAAAAGCACTTAATAGTCTTCTGAAATATTGTTTTGTTTCCATCTTTCTGGTTCATATGCTAATTTCTAATCAACATATAAAGGGTCAGAATTTTGGTTTCTTGAACTTGCAGATGTCCTGACTTGTGATACTGAGTCCAGCATTCACTATCTCTCTCTCCTTATTATTGGTGGTAAATGTAATGCACAGCAAAGATTTTATTGAGAACACCATTGATCATGATCACACAACTGCTTCAAACTGAACTGTGTGTTCATGCTTTTTAGAATGTTAGCTGCTCTGTAGCTACTGCTGTCCGACACGGTGACATGCTAATTTGCCCAGCTAGCTATCCAGTAGGCTGAGCTGTGCAGCCTTTGGTTTTGCTGTTCAATCACAAAAGAGTGCACATTAGCCTGCATTGCAGTGTACATGTTTTTTCTTCTAAAAATTCATCAGCTTTGCTTTTAAAGGCTAAGGAAAGACCAGATTCTAGCCGTGTTAAAGGGACAGTTCACCTCAAAATCAAAGACATATTTTTTCTCCTACCTGTAGTGCTGTTTATCAGTCTAGATTATTTTGGTGTGAATTGCTGAGTGTTGGAGATATCAGCTGTAGAGATGTCTGCCTCTTTTTGAATATAATAGAACTAGATGGCACTCAGCTTGTGGTGCTCAAAACACCCAAAAATTACATTTGAAAAACTCAACAGCAATGTCGCTGTCCAAAAATCATGACCTGATTACTCAAGATAATTGAAAGACAACGTTGTGAGTAGTTTCATATAGGAACTATTTTCTGTCTACGGATCTGCACCTTCCAACCATATCACTACGCAGAAGGAAGCATGCATCTAATGCTAGCTCCACATAACACCACTAAGTTAGCTAACGTAGCTAACCTCGTGCTGACACAAGTAGGAGCCTCTCGTCCGTGAGTTTGTGAATCACCACATCTACTGCTGGCACCACTGAGCTAGCTAACATTACAGCTCAGCCAAGAAGGATGGCATTAATGTTTTCAGTTCGCACTGACACAAGCCCAAGCCTCTCATCTATGAGTAGATGTGTGCTTCCTTCTGGGCAGTGATTTGGATGGCAGGTGTAGAAAATGGTTCCTACATGAAACTGCTCACAACAAGATCTGTGGATTATCTTCAGTAACCAGGTCATGATTTCTGGAAAGAGACATTGCTGTTAAGTTTTTCAAGTATTTTTTTTTTTTGCGGGGGCACTTTTAGCACCACAAGCTGAGTGCCATCTAGTTGCATTATATTCGCAAAAAGGCAGACATCTCTACAGCTGATATCTCCAACACTCAGCAACTCACAGCAAAACAATTTAGACTGATAAATAGCACCACAGGTAAGAGGAAATAAATGTAGTTTTAATTTGGGGGTGAACTGTCCCTTTAAACTTGTCATTACTGTTATTTCTAACAAAGGTTTTTTTTTATTAAAAATGTATAGCATAGCTGAAAGCTATTATTTACTAGTATTTTTTTAATAGTCTACATAATGTGCACACCTCAATGCAGAGTATGCAGCACATTGTCAGCATATATGTGGGATTGAGTCTGAGCAGTGTTGGTGTAGTGACACTGAATTACACCACCTCGTCCTCCTCCTCCTCCATCTTGTCAGTGTGAGACCGTGAGTGAGACTCCAAGGGCCTCATTTATAAGCCTTTAGTAAGAACAAATGGGCTTGAATGATATGAATAATACACTTCCCACACAAATGCTGGGAATTAAAAAAATGTGTCAAGAGATTGAATGCATCCCTGCACAGTCTCAGAAGAATGCCTATAAAGATTTGGAGGGAGTGGGAGCTGCAAATGTAGTTAAATTAATCGTGTTAATGTCTCGTGACGAGATGAAATGGCTTGCAGATGAGCTTTTGAACATTTGATAGATCAGAATATTAGTAAGAGGATGTTGTGCTCATGTTTTGACCCAACTTATAAGAAAATTACTAACACAGTTTTATAAATGAGACCCCAGGCCATAATGTCCTTGTGTGAGTAACATGGTACAAAGCAGTATTCACACAGAAATGTCTTTCCCACTCACCAAACCAAAGGCTGCACACTTAGTATTTTGAACACTTTTGAAGAAAAAAAAAGAATGACATTTTTTTTGAAATGTCGCTTTTGCATGCTGGCTTTCAACATCTGCATTTAGCTCATTTTGGTTGTCTTTCATTTCGTCCCCTCTCTCTCTCTCTTCTAAATTCTGACTTGTGAAACTGTTTCTCCCTGTTTTCTTTTCCTATGCACCTTAAAGCACACACATTAACCATCCTTGCTACCGCCTAGACCAGTTAAGTAAAAATACGAAACCCCAGAACCTCCAAGTACTTTATATTTTTGACCGGGAATAGATGCAGTTCTGTGTGTGTGTGTGTTAGATAATTAAACGTTACACAGATGATCCAGCTTACTATCCCGACAGTTAGATCCACTGCCTAGATAGAGGTTTGTTATAATGTCCCCTCTGTGATGTTGTGGTCCTTCTAGTTCCTTTTGTGTATTTGTAGTTGGTTGTGACGGTGAATGTTCATTGGCTTCTCATCCCCATTTTGCTTTGTGTACTGTGTTGTAGTTAGTAGCAGAGTTTGTGCCTGCAGGTTGGGTGGGGAATAGAAAAAAACAATCCTAAGTAGAAAACGGCAGTGGAATTATTACTGTTTGTGGGTGGGGTGTTATGAGGGCTTACATTTGTTTAGCCATAATCTGTGGCTTGCATCTCAAAATGTCTTGTGATAGTGGCACTGATCCATTTTCAGATTTAAGTTTTGTCTTTTCTTTTTGTTTTAATTTACTTTCGTTTTCAATTTAAGTGCTGTGTTGTAAGACCTGTAGTGTAAATATCATTTTTTTGTTTGATAGATGGTTTAAAAACATCAAACCTTCACCAAGAAGACAGTAATTGATCTGTTCCGCAATTAAGACACATGAAATCAAAGTAAACACATTCTTTGCCACTCTTCCAAATAGCCTGCTTTTCAGCCGCAGCACAATGCATGGCTAAGGCCCAGCAGTGCTTCAGTTCTTTTGGGCTTGGTTAAAAAAAAGAGCTTGCCATTATTGTTCCTTTTTAATCAAGGACAAGTATATAGATGAGCTCATCATCCCTATACTTGGGTCTTGCTGAGGAAAGTTGTAAATATGCAACCACGGGGCAAGTTGAAGTGTAAGGGTGCGGGCCAACTCCCCTCCCCCCAGTTCTGTACAGAACTGCATTTTTAACCAACCAAAGATGCTTAACAGACCTTACAATTACTTTGTTTAGCTTTGGTTTGTTTTCTTTGGATTTCTCATCAGTGTTTTTATATGTACCTCCCTTTACTGTTGTGGAGAGTCAAAAAGACAGGTGACTGTACTGTAATGTGTAAGCAGACTTGGGGGCATGCCACAGGTAATGAAACTGTTGTAGCTTTTTGCTCTTTGTGGGCCTAAAGACATAAATGGATGTCCATTTCTGTGTGGTGATTGGACTGTCCCGCCCTGAGGTCGACTCTGCTGAACCACCAATGTCCCACCGAGCAATCAAAAGGAAAACTTGTCTGTAGTTAAATCTGTTGTAGAGCTTTATGCTTAATAGATTTAAGGAGTATCTCTCATATCCTGATTTGAGACTGAATTTTAACTTAACATATATATCAGAGGCTTGACTGAGTTTTCCACCAGAGCTTGTGTTGGTGATCAGCAGAGGACTTCCTTAGAGCTGTATGTGTACTATGCTGTATCTTACTTCTTCCTCCACTGATTGTTTTCTATTCCATGTCCTCTCCTTATCTTCTTCCCTGTTGCATATAGGGCGGCTGAGGAGGCCATGATTTCAGATCTGGACGAGAACAACCCCGGCACGGAGTGGGAGCGGGTGGCTCGGCTCTGCGACTTCAACCCCAAGTCCAGCAAGCAGGCCAAAGACGTGTCCCGCATGCGCTCGGTCCTCATCTCCCTGAAGCAGTCCCCGCTAGTCCGTTAGGCAGCCAAAGCAGCCCAGGGCGTCATTCCATATCATCCTCTATCACCACACACCAACCAACCCAGCAGTCACAACCTGTATTCTGAAGACAAGGGGGCTTACACCCCTTCTGTGCACGCGTTTGCCATGCACAGTCAT